TTTTTTGTTTTTGTACAGACAGGGTCTCGCTCTGTTGCCAAGGCTGGTCTCGACCTCCCAAAGGGGATGGGATTACAGGTGTGAGCCACCGCACCTGGTCCTGGACTTGTTTATTTGAATGCTTATTGGGAAAACAGGATTAGGCTTCAAACCAGGGGTTTATGGGAGTTATATGCAGTTTCTCCCTTTTCTCATAAAGACTTTAAAAATTAAGATACAGCCGGGCTCGGTGGCTCAACCTGTAATCCCGCGCCTTTGGGAGGCTGAGGTGAGTGGATTGCCTGAGCCCGCGTGTTCGAGACCTGCCTGGGCAGGCGAGACCTCATCTCTACAATAAATCAAAAATTAGCCAGGTGTGGTAGCGAGCGCCTGTAGTTCCGGCTACTCAGAAGGCTGAGGTGGAAAGACCGCCGGAGCCCAGCGGGTTGAGGCTAGGGTGGCCGTGAGTGTGCCATGGCCCTTCAGCCTGGGTGACAGAGTGAGAGTCCAACTCAGAAAAAAAAGAGGTACCTGTTTAAACAATACCGCTGAGCGTTTTTAGTACATTCACAGAGTTGTGCGACCCTCACCGCTATCAAATTCCAGAACATTCCATCAATCCAAACCTCACTCCCCTCCCCCTCCCTGGCACCCCTGAATCCACCTTTCGGCTCTGTGGTCTGGCCTGTTCTGGACATTTCATAGAAGTGTCGTCACATACCCGTGTCCTTCTGTGTCGGGGTCTCCCTGAGCGTGGCGTCGTCAGGTCCATCCACGCCGTGGCCTGTGTTGGAATCTTCTTCCTGTTCGTGGCTGAGCCACGGCCCACGGGTGGGTGGACCATGCTGTATATCCATTCACCTAAGGATAAATATTTTCGTTGTTCCCCCCAGTTTTCTTTAAGAATAACTCCAGTTATGCTTGTAAGTGGACTTTATTTAAAAGAAAAATCTTGAGTGAGTGACTTCTATGCGGACACGGCAAAGCGGATGGATGTGGAGCCCAGCGGCAGAAGGCAGGGCGGGTAGCAGTGTTGTGGAAAGTCCCGTGGGCTGGACAGGGACACCCGAGTTCTTGTCCAGCTTCTGCCCCCGCTGGTGGCCTGGGCGCGGCTGGCCGGGTCCCTTCCCTCTCTGGGCCTGTTTACTCGCTTGTGAGACGGTCTTTCTCTGTGACCTCCCCAGGTGGGTTCTGGGTCGTGTTTGCTCTCTGGGCCTTGGCTTCTGCCTTTGCAAAGGGGAGGGTCGGACACGCAGCCTTCAGGGGCCGCTCCTGGCCTGTGCGAGTCTCCCAGGGTGGCCCAGCAGACCTCCAAGTCGCCCGGGCGGGTCTCAAACCTGCGGGCTCAGGCAATCCACTTGCCTTGGCCTCCCAAAGTGCTGGGATTATAGGCTGAGCCACTGAGCCTGGCCAGTTGTTTGCCTGTTTTTTGAGTTGGAGTCTCACTCCATCACCCAGGCTGGAGTGCAGTGGCATGCTCATGGCCACCCCAGCATCAACCTGCTGGACTCCGGCGATCCTTCCGCCTCAGCCTTCCAAGGAGCCAGAACTACAGGTGTGCACTACCACGCCGGCTAATTTTTTGATTTATTGTAGACGAGGTCTCGCCAAGTTGCCTAGGCTATTCTCGAACCTGTGGGCTCAGGCAATCCCCTCACCTCGGCCTCCCAAAGTGCTGAGGTTACAGACTTGTGCCACCGCGCCTGGCTGCCTTCTGTTTTTTTAAAAATTAGCTTGGGCTCAAAGTCTCATTCTTGCAATCCCAGCACTTCGAGAGGCTCAAGTGGGAGATCACTTGAGGCCAGGAGTTTGAGACCAGCCTGGGCAACATAGCAAGACCCTACCTCTACAAAAAAAAAAAAAAAAAGGTAAAAAATAAAAAAGAAGCAATAGGCTTACAAAAATAAAAATTCATTTAGTTGCCAACTGTCTTAATCCGTTTGTGCAGCTATCACAGAACACCGTAGCCTGGGTGGCTTGTAAACGATAGGAATGTATTTCTCCCAGTTCTGGAGGCTGGAGGTCTGAGGTCAAGGTGCCGGAAGACTCGGTGTCTCGTGGGAGCCTCGTCCTGACATGGTGGGAGGGCCGGGGGCTCTCTCTTATCCAGGCACTGATCCCACTCGTGAGGGGGCGGCCCTCATGACCCATCACCTCTCGAAGGCCTCACCTCTAGACACCCTCACGTTGGAGATTGGGTCTGAACATGCGTTTTGGGGGAACACAAACCTTCAGGCCATGGCGTTTACACACTGGGGGCTTTCACACAAACCCTGGGTTTCTGGGCATAGGACATGCGGTTGCCATGGCCGCCGTCCCCTCCTCGAGGGCAGGAGAGTAGGACAGGTTGGGCTCGGGTTCGAATCCTGGCTCTGCTCCGGCCTGCTGCATGTCTCTCAGCAGGTTGCTTCCCCCACGGTCTGTCTCCTGAGGGTAGTCGGGGCTCTGCACGTGTGGATCTGGGCGGCGTGGGTTAGAAGCGGCCCGCGCCGTGTGCGTAGAACAGAGCTGGTATGTGACAGGCGCTCCGTGGTAGCCATGGGCCACTGTCGCCCCGCACGGGTCCCGCCTCATGTGTTTGCCCGCCTGGTCCTGGGGGCTCTGGCGTTTGTGGTCCCCGTCTCAGCCTATAGGATTTCGCCGCCCCTCGTGGAGCTCCGGTGGGTCCGAGGAGCTGGACCTCTGCTCCCCTGCGCATTAAGTTGTGCCCACCCCGCAGGTCCACGCACCCCGCGGCTCCTCCACGGAGGCGCTGGGGGCACGCAGAAGGTCTTCGGCTGCGCAGCTGGAGTGGGCTGCACGTGAATCGCGGGGGGGCCGGGACTGAGGGCCCCTCACCCCGTGGCCCGAGGGCGGCAGGCCACCCAGGACACATGCCGCTCGGGGAAGACGGCCACTGAGCAGCTGGTGTCCCTCCGAAGCTGTCTGCTCAGGGAGAGTTTCGTGTTGGGGACGGGGACGGTGGCTAATTCCCCTTGGGATCCTGTATACCTGACTCATGTCTG